TTTAATTAAAAAAATAAACAATAAACATAAAATGAAAACTATTTTCTTTAAGTGAGGGATTATTTTGTAAAATTTAAGTAAGGGATTATTTTGTAAAATAAAAATTAAAAATGTTATATTATAAGGTAAAAATTAAACCCTTTAAAGATGGTAAAGTGAAGAGGGGAGGGCCTAAAATAGGTTTTTGCTCACCATTCTCCTTATAAAAATCCTCTGTTTCGGAGCTATACCTATCCGAGAAAGGGGCCACAGCAAAGAAACCTCTTCGTTATTCCAGTGCCACCCAAAGCTAGAATCAGCCCTTCTAGGAATGGTTTCTCAGTTCTCTTCTCGGAATCCCTTGCTCAAAAAGCCAGAAAGATCCAAACAATTTTTTCCCTTTCAATCGCCGCCCCCAAAACAGAAAAACCTTCTCTTCCTTTTTTAGATCAGAACCCCATACCAGGAGGAAGAAAGCCGAGCGTAAGGAAAAAGGGAAGGCCAAGGGTAAGGAAAGAGACTGAGAGAAGACCCCCCTTTTTTTTTGGCTGCCGAACTCTTCCCCTCCCCAAAACCAGATCTGCTTCGTCTTTTTTTTTTTTTTTTTTTGGTGATTGGTGAGGGTGATGGTGCCGAGAGTGATCGGAGGAAAAAAGAAAAAAAGAAAGATGGTTGCTGGTGATTTTAAAGACGGGAAGATTCTGCACAGGGAAGAAAGAGAGGCCGAGGGTCGGCGTGAAAGAGAAGGTGAGAATGAAGAAGATTCACGGCTGCTGTGAGATGGAGACGATGATCTGCGGCAGTGGAACGATGTGGATGAAGTGGCTGGCAACCGGTGACAATGAATGGTGGTGATGGTGACGACGATGATGATGGAAAAGCGGGGGAATGAAAGGAAGTGGAGAGGAGAAGAACACTGGTTTTTTTATTCTGCTGCCGAATTCCCCTCTCCAACCCAGATCTCTGCTTGTGTGGCTAGGGTTTCCAGGTGAAGGATCGAGAGAGAGGAGAGGGAAGGAGAGAATTCTTTTTTTTTTTTTTTTTCTCTCTGCCTGCACTGTTTTTCTGTCCATTTAAAACCTAGGGTTTTTATCCTTTTGTTAGTTTCAGGCCAAAATGTGGGCTTCTTATGAAATTGGGCTAATATTTAGTTTTTATGGGCCTAAAGCATGAGTTGGGATTAAGCTTAATATGCAATCTGGCCCTAAATAGAAAATGCTACCCTTTTTTTGCACATTTGATTCTTTTTTTTTTTCTTCTTCTTTTTTCCTTTTTTCTCTTTTTTTTTTCTTTCTCTCTTTTTTTTTTCTTTTTTTCTTTCTTTCTTCTGTTTTTTTTTTTAGCAAGTTTCTCCATATAAGTTTGAATTTGCCATTTTCCTTCAAAATTCCAACTTAAACTTCATTCATTTCTAGATCGAGTCCTAAGACATCAAAAATAAGGTTGATTAAAACAATTTTAAGGCAAAATTTGATTTATTCATTACCTAATTAAAATATATTTTCTTTTTAATGAAAATTTGAGTTATAATAGGTGTTTGGTGAATTAAACACACGCATGGACGGAAAGGTTCACCAAATAGAAAATGCATAGCTATCTCTCAGGTTGTGATTGAGAACATATATTTGTATTTGAAATATGTATTTTAAATATATGTATTTAAAATACATATATTTTAAAATACATTGTTTAGATTAAAATAAAAAAATAATTTTTAAATTATTATTTAGATAATTTAAAATATTATATATTTAAAATGAAATTTTTTTATTAAATTAAATATTTTTTTTATCATTATTTAAATTTAATAAAACCAAAGTTAATAATTTTAGTCTTCTAAGGCATTTTTTAAATTACCTCAACACAAACAAATTGGATTAAAAAGAAAAGGAACAATAATCTCCACTAATTAATTTGTCTTCATGTTCTTCATTTTCTGTTCAATTTTTCTTAAATACACTTCTTTTGATTAAAGGATAGGTGAAGTAGTTATCCCATGAAATTAATTTTTTAAAAAATAAGCGAATCCTATGTTATTTGAAGCATATTGATGAGAACACCAAAAAGAACAATGAAACCCACAGCACAAGGGATTTCTCAACTCTAGGAAAGTTAAATCAGATTTATAATAGGAGCTTGACCTGTTGTTTATGTCGCAACAATAACCAAAGGTAAAAACCTTGACCCGTTGTCTATGACGCAACAAGAAC